AGTATTTGTAGGGTTTTATCTTTATCTTTTTTTTTTTTTTTTGAGAGAGAGAGAGAGGTTTTTTTTATATATTTATTTTTTAGTTTTTGGTGGACACAACATCTTTGTTTGTATGAGGTGCTGAGGATTGAACCCGGGCTGCACGCATGCCAGGCAAGGGCGCTACCGCTTGAGGCACATCCCTAGCCCTAATCCCAGCCCTAATCTTTTTTTTTTTTTGGCCGGTGCTAGGGATTGAACCCAGGGCCCTATGCATGCGAGGCAAACACTCTACTAACTGAGCTATAACCCTAGCCCCTGGTTTTATCTTTTTCTATCCTTTTACTGCCAACTTTTCTGTATCATTATATTTTATTTATTTATTTTATTTTTTCCATACTCTTTATTGGTGCATTATGGTTGTACATAATGGTGAAATTCATCAGTACATATTTATACTTATGAGCAACGTAACAATATAATTTGACCAATATCACTCCCCAGGGTTCCCCTTTTCCTGCCCTCCTCCTCCTTCCCCTGGTCCCTTTCCTTACTCCATCGATCTCCCTTCAATTTTCATGAGATCTTCCTGCCCCCTCACCCTCTTTTCACTTTGCCCCCCACCTCCTTGCGGTTCTCTTTCTTTTCCTCTCTAGCTTCTACATATGAGAGACAACTTACGATCTTTGACTCTCTGGGTTTGGCTTATTTCATTTAACGTAATGTTCTCAAGTTCCTTCCATTTTCTGCAAATGACATAATTTCGCTTCTTAAATGGTTGGATAAACTCCGTTGTGTACATTTACCACATTTTCTTTATCCATCCACCCATTGAAGGGCACTGGATTGGTTCTGCTGTTTGGCTATTGTGATCTGTGTGGCTATAAATATGGGTCTGTGTGTGTGTTATCCTTACATTTTACATATAACTCTTGTAAATCACTTATGGTTATATTTTCAAGATTTGCTTCCTGTTTGTCTTTTAATTAGAGCATTTAATCCATTTATATTTTTTCCGTTATTGATATATCAGGATTTGGGTCTGTTATCTTACTTAATACGATTTTTTCTGCATGTTTTATGTCCCTCTTCCTTATATTCTTTTGATGATTCAAAAGAAATTTGATTTCCTCTTCAGTTAGCCTGCATGCTAAATGCCCTTTTAAGCATTTTTCGATGTTTATCCTTCTTGTTTATGAGATATATAAATATATATATATATATATTTGGGACTTACATAATCCTTATATTAATTAATATCTTTATCTCCTCCCAGAAAAATGCAAGAATCACAGAATTCTTTAACTTTTTGTCCTGTTACTAACTAAAATGCCCTAGTTGCCTAGTATTTTAATTCTATAAGTAATGTAACCCCCAATACACTATTATTCCACTTAATGCAGGTAATATTCATTTCGATTTACCCACATGCATATTGATTTTTGTTTCTTTTTTCCAGCTCCCAGTTTCCACTGGGTCTATTTTCCATTGATTTGAAAAATACTTTTTAATATTTCTTTCAGTACAATTCTAGTGTTTGATTCTTTTAGAATCTTTCTTTGTACAGATATGTTTAATTTCATCTTTATTTTGGAAAGTTATTATGAAGTACACTTCTAGCTGTTTTTTTCTCTTTGCTTTTAGTTTAGTCATTGAATTAGGACGGGTTTTGGTGTGGATTTCTTTGTACTTATTCCCATTTGTGTTCTTAGAGCTTCCTCAGTGGATGGCTTGCAAGCTCACATCAAAGACAGTTTTCCATCCAAGTATCCAGATGTCCAAAGAGTTGTGAAAATTCCTGTTTTTCCAAAGTATTAAAAAAATAGTCAGGGGCTGGAGTTATGGTTCAGTGGTAGAGTGCTCACCTAGCCTGTGTGAGGCACTGAGTTCGATCCTCAGCACCACACAAAAATAGATAAATAAAATAAAGGTATTATGTCATCTACAATTAGAAGAAAATATATATTAATAAAAATATGATCAGACTTCCTAAACTCAGCTAATGTGTTAATTAAGCAATATATCACTAATTGGTTTCTAAATGAATAAAGAAGCATTGTTTGAATATCTATTCTTAATTTCCTATTTGTGTGGGAAATACCTTATCTTTTAGTTAGTTGAAGAGCCTTCTGATTTCCAAGGATATTATTATAATTGAGAATGAGATGCTGCTTTGCACACTGTTGTTCAAAAATGTTTTCCCCCTCCAGTGACATTTTTTAAAGTAAATAAGTGCCGTTATTTCCATTCTTTATAAACAGTATAGTCAATTTTTTCCTAAATCTGTCTATCTTATAGCATGTAAGTTTGAAATTGATGAGAGTTGGAAGGAAATTCTTTTCCATGTTGGGGAGGGTCTACTACAACAAATTAGAATTTCTCTGTAAGACCTATAAAAATAGTTAAAATATGATAAATCCTAAATAAGTTAGTAAATACTAAATAAGTTAGTAAAAGGGTTCAAGTGAACTGATACATTGGAATATCTTTGTTGAATATTCTTAAAGTCATTGATGGTTATAGATTGTTTATCTTGACTCTGACTTGAAGAATATAATGATATTGATTAACACATATGTACTAATTGCATTTTCCCAGTTATGTGTAAGTACAATGAATCAGTGAGTGGACAGTTCTCATAATAGGAATCCATTCTAGCACACAAAGGTGGGCTGACATCGTAAAGGGAAAACGGCAATCCCCATTCCTGCTCTCCTGTTCCTCTCCAGAGCCTTCACGGTTCACTGGCAGCCAAGGATTCATGGGATCTTTGTAGCTAAGAGATGATAACAGCAGGCCAAAAATTTCCACCCTATGGGAGAGAAGCACATTAAGATCTTAAGTAAATTTTCATCAAACCTTTAGAAAAAGGAGGACTTCCCAAGAAAGGGTAACAGTTATTATAATGGAATATTTTGTTAAATTTAACTATATATTTTTCTCCTTTCTCTCTTTCATCTTTCTTTTCTATCCACCCACCGATACCATTTAGTAAAAGCCATGGTCATCTTCCACCAAAATACAGCAGGGATCTAAAAACAACATAACCAACCAGCAAATCTAAGATTTCAAAGCAGATTTTACTCTGGGTAGGACAGGGAGTCCCTAGAGTGTTGGAGTATGGAAGGGTCAGGGCTGGACCCTTTGATCACAGGCCCATTTGGCTGCTGTGTTGAGGACAGACTGTAGGAGGTCTGAGCAGGGAGGCTGGGTAGGTGCTGAAGCTGGCCGCTGCCCCAGGTGGAGGTGGTGAGGGGAGGACAGAAGCTCTTGAGTTCCAGATACATTCTGAAGGTTGAGCAGGTGGCGTTTGTTGGTGGACTGGATATGGAGGGTGAAGTAAAGAAGATTTAAGATCTTTATTCGCCATGAACAGGCAAATGAATAAAGAAAATGTGATATATATATATCACATATATATATATATATATATATATATATATATATATGGAGTTTTACTCAGCTGTAAAGAAGAATGAAATAATGTCATTTGTGGGTAAATGGATGGAACAGAAGGGCACCATGCTAGGTGAAATAAAATAAGCCAGACTAAGTCGGGGTTGAATGTCTTCTCTCATATATGAAAGCTAGAGAGAAAGGTTAAAAAATGGATTTGGAAAATTGGGAGTTTCGTGGAAATAGAAGACTACTGGGGTAAAGGAAGGAGAAGGGAAGGAGATGGGAAAGTCCTGGGGAATGAGATCTATCAGATCATGCTGGGTCTGTGTATGAATGTAACACAGGGATCCTGCAGGTTTCCGTAATTATAATGCGTTAATTAAGATAATAATATCCAGATGTGGTGACATAGGCCTGTAATCCCAGTGGCTCAGGAGGCTGAGGCAGGAGGAGCACAAGTTCAAGGCCAGCCTCAGCAACTTAGTGAGGCCCTAACCAACTTAGTGAGACCCTGTCTCAAAGAAAAAAAAATTAAAAGAGGGCTGGGGATGTGGCTCCGTGGCTAAGGACCCCTGGATTTAATCCCTGGTAACCCCCCAAAATTAATAATAGTAACAACTGAAGGGAGACTGTAGAGTAGAGCAAATGGCTCAAGGGGAAGGAGGAAAGAAAGGGAAGGTACTGGGGAATGAGAGGATCAAGCTACACTGTGTGCAGGTACGGATATGCAGAACAAACCCACTATTGGGTTATTGTAAAAATGTGTAATTATAATGCACTAATACAAATTAAAGAAATAGAATTAAAAAAGATTTGGGAGTGGCTCTGAGCTTTTCATTTGGGTGCCTGGGAGAACAGAGCTGCCTTTAACAGGCAGGGAAGCTGCAGGTGCGGAGGGAGTTCTGGAACTCGGCTCATTTTGACCTGACTCTTAGACATGCAAGTGGACATGGGGAGTTGGAACGTAGTGGGGTTGTTTTTTTTTTTTTTTTAAATCTTTAATTAGAGGTGGACACAATGTCTTGATTTTATATTTATGTGATGCTGAGGATCGAACCCAGTGCCTCACGCATACTAGGTGAGCGCTCTACCTCTGAGCCACAGTCCCAGTCCCAGAATGCAATGTTTATAAAAGAGAATGAAGAAACAGATGAAAAGTCACAGGAGCAGTGCAGATTGGAGGTTAAAGACATGCACATAATCAAGGGACAGTGGTGCGTGCCTGTCCTATAGTCCTGGCCTCGGTGGAGGCCGAGGTGGGAGGAGGATCCCTTGAGCCCAGGGGATTGAGACCAACCTGTGCAATTTATAAGACGCCGTCTCAAATTTTTTTAAATTAAAAAAAAATTTAAGAAAATTTCAGACAGAGTGAAGGCCCTGCTGGCCTGAGTCTTGGGCCTCACAGCCAGAGAGCAGGTCCCAGGCCAGTGGCCCTGGATTTCAGTCATTGAAGCTAACTTTTTCATGATACCAAGACAAATGGGATGCATCTGTCATGATGCGCTTGATGGTGGCTAAAGAATTCTGAACATTCACATTGTGCCAGGCTGTGTACTAGGCCTCCTGGCTGCATTACTTCATTTACTTTTTTGGACACTTTGAAAATCGGTCCCATTTTGCAGATGACAAAGCTAAAGTTGAGACTCATGAGTCAGCCCTGATGGTGACGAAGCCGGAATTCCAACCCAGGACCCCATGACTCGAAAGCCTCATGCGCTGAACTGTGCCTTTCAGTTGGTTTTTCCAGAGCCTTTGCTGATTGTCCTGGGTTCTCCGTGGCTCCGGCTCCTTTGACTTGAACACAGAACTTGCTGTTTGGGGCGAGAGGAAGAGAATCGTTTTCTGCGGTGAGGTTTCTGCTGTTACACACAAACATCCTAGACAAAGTTTTAAAAACCTTTAAATGCTTTATTATTTGGGGAAATCTTCTTTAAGACAGTCTTATTTAAAAAAAAATAGAGACAATTTTATTTTGCCAAAAATTCTAGCCACATGTCAAACCTGATGAAAATCTATGAATACTCTCAAAAGATAATGGGAAGAGTCCTCTTTCCCCCAGAGTCCTCCTGATGATACCTGACGCATGTGTCAGACATCTCGAGTAGTCTGGGGACAGGTGTCAGCAATAGAAATGGGGAATCAGGTGTGGATTCTATTCAGCAAGACATTAAAGATGCCATGTTCACTCTCAATAAGACGCGGATGAAACGGAGGCCAATCGAAGGGATCATTTCATATTTAGTAAGAAACCATTCAGTTCTTTACTCCTGTGATCTCAACTCCTATCTTGAATGCTGAAGGTAGAGTTTGACACTGGAGCAGGACTCAGGCCGTGAACCCTTGCTTATCCCCAAATAATTATATTTTAATAGAGGTATGTGTGGCCGACCTTAGGATAAGGCTGCTTTTTAAATCATGTGTCTAGTTGTGTAGTTGTCTGGAAAAGTCAGTGATCTGTTTGTGCCTTCATGAAGCATGAGAGGAATGTTCTAGGAGCAGATTTTTTTTTTCCCCCAGTAGCTACAAATGTCCTTCCCCTCAAAAAAAAAGTTTTTAGCAGCACGACTTTGCTCTTAGCCACATCTGTACGCCCTCAACCTCAGCGCTCTTCGGGGCGCGCTGAAGACCTGTTCCCTCGCGGTTCTTGCATACTGCCATGTCTCAGAGCCTGCGTGGATCTGCCCAACCTCTAAATCAGAGGAAGGAAGAGCAGAGAGGAGCCTTAGGACCTCACCCAGGGAGGGCACTCCTGTGTTTTGAATGTGGTTTGTCCCTCCAAACGCGTACAGGAATCTACTTCCCCAAGTCATTTGATAATGGTATGAAGAGGTGTGGAGACTGAGTCCAACCGTGGTGTTTGGAAGTGGAGCCCTTGAGAACAGTTTAGATTAGATTAGGTTATTTGGTTGAATTCTGATGGCTTTTTAAGGAAAAAAGAAAATCTATGAGAAACTACATACATACAGAGATGTACTCTCACTACTGTTTATGATGTCTCATAGCCAAGGGAGGCTGTGGTGAGAGCCTGCACCATGCTGTGTGTGTGGATTTCTGGCCTCCTAAACTGTGAGCTAAATAAACCTCTTTTCTTTATAAAGCAGCTTGCCTTGGGTATTTTGTTACAGAAAAAAAAAAAACTCTGACTAATAAAGACACTGAATGTAATGTGTTAGTCAGAAAGGCAGATAAGAGATAATAAGGGGCTGGGGATGTGGCTCAAGTGGTAGCGAGCTCACCTAGCATGCGTGGGGCACTGGGTTCGATTCTCAGCACCACATAAAAATAAAGTGAAGATGTTGTGTCCGCCTAGAACTAAAAAATAAATATGAAAAAAGAGATAATAAGCTGGGGCTGGGGTTGTAGCTCATGGTAGAGCTCTTGCCTAGCAGGTGTGAGGCACTGGGTTCATTTCTCAGCACCACATATAAATACATACATACATATATGTCCATCAACAAAAAAGAGATAAAATAAGCTAAGGGAAATGTGTTCTTGGGGAGGCAGTATTTGTGTAGTTGGGGATCACAGTGAGGTACCCCCAAGAAGTTGGAAGTGAGAGAAGAAGGAACGACCCAAGAGATAAGTGAAGAAATCTATAGGAATTGTATCAAAGCTGGGTTCTCCAGTGTCATCCTGTCAATGGGTACATTCCTGCCTCCAAACGGATGTGCCTTTCAGAAGCAGGACAGAGCCATTCAAGGTGGGTGGGGAGAAAGAGTCAAGAGTCCTTGCTCACACCTGAATCTTAGACGTCAGGCCTCCAAATCATGAGACAATAAATTTCTGTTAAATCCACCCACCCCGTGGTACATATTTATGGCAACCCTCTGAAAAGGATACGTCCTGTTCCAGGGTTTCACCATCAGAATTAAGACTGTTCATTACAATGGACCTAGATCCTGACATTGCAGGGAAAGCAATGTCCTAAGAATATAAAGGATCCCTGGGCGAAGCTGGGGTGGCCTTAGGTGATTTTCTGGCTTTGGGGAATTTCTACTTGCAAGGACAGATATTTGCAGATAGAATAAATTTTGTCTAGGTTTTTTTCTTTTTAAGTTCTTTTCAGATAAAATAAACATTTCAGGATATATATACAGAAGGCATTAATACTAAAAGATATTCCTAAAGATAAATTATAATTTACTTAATGGGTGTTTACCATTTTGCCCTAAGCATAAGTAAACTTAGTCTGTTGAGTTCAATGCTTTGCAAATCCCTAAAAAATTGTTACTTTAGAATTTCTAACCACATACTATCTGCTGGAAATGTTCGGACATTTTTTAACAATTCACACAAAAACATGCTGTAAGTTTTTTAAAGTGAAATTTAAAATTTCTACATGCTTAATGCAAAAAGAGCTATTGTAAATTAGCTCAGATGACTCAGTGACTATAAGCTTTCGACCAAGTAAAAAACATGGAATTACAATAAGTAATATGCTTTTATCTGTATTATTCACTTCAGATGAAACTAATTAACTACATATCCTTGTTTCATAATTTGACACTCTTATATTCTAGATTTTCATTTTATAAGTATTAATTCTGGAAGCAGTTCAGTGAGGTTGACAGATTTTTCTTTTATTTTGTAGATTGAAAATGCCGAGACTACGGAAAGACAAATGGCTCATCCAGAGGCATAAAGAATAAAAATGACAAAAGAAACATGAATCGATGACACCTTTTTTCTTCTCAGTCTTTCACAAATATTCACCATGCAGATGAAGGGGACAAAGTCCTTACTTTTGACTAATAATTATTGGATGCTCTCCTGTGCTCTGGCAACTACTGTATGATTAAACCATTGTCTTGGTCAGTTTTCTGTTGCTATCACAAAATACCGGAGACCAGGTAATTTATAAAAAAAAGTTTATTTGGCTCATGGTCTTGGAGGCTGGGAAATCCAAAAACATGGACTGGCATTTGCTTGGCCTCTGGGGAGAGATTCCTTGCCTAGTCATACCAAGGTGGAAGGGCAAGTGAACACACATGAAACAGAGGGGACAAAAGGGGACCAAACCCATGACAAACCCATTCTTTCCATAACTAAACCATCTCACGATAACGGCCTTAATCCATTCACGAAGACAGAGCCCTTATGACCCCAATCACCTCTGAGAGGTCCTACCTCTTGATACAGTTCCAGCGGCATTTAGATTTAACATGAGTTTGGGAGGGGGACATTCTCTGTGCATGCAGAGTAAAACCCATGGAAAATTTAAACCTGGAAGCTTTAAATTGTGGAGGGAAGAACCCCAGGTGGCAGCAGAGTAGGAGCAGAGTGTGACGTCCCATGTGGCCACAGCTCCCCTCCTCAGTGACTGCTTTTCAGATCTCTTTCACATATATTTGCCTTTGAATCATGCATTCCGAGCTTCAGTCTTCCAGGGAGAGCGAGGGGTTAAGCCTGCTTGTAGAAGGGCCCCTGTGTTCTAAACCCACCGTCCTTATTTTTCTCCAGAGAGAGGTAGGGAGATGGTGCACTGCAAAGAACTGCTGAGTAACTCCCCGGTGTTGGAGTTTGCTGCTGTGACCTGCCTTGGTTGGCTCCCCAGTAGCCAGGGAACAGGAATCTTAGGAAGGAGAGGATCGGTGCAGACTGAGCTAAAAACCCAGAGGCATTTTCTAGCCGAGGGGCCCCAGGCAGACTTTTTAACCCTTTTAGTACTCAGTTTCCCCGACTATAGGACAACAGCAATGTCAAGGGTGCCCCCCCCCAGGAAATGCCCAGCATGGCGTGTGGCACGGAGCCGTGTTCCTCTGACGTTTGTTGTACCTGAACCTGAGTCAGTGTTCTGCACTCTCGAGACCCACAGTTCCCAGCACTTACCTACCAACAGGTCCCTTATGCTAAAATGACTTACCTTCAGGGCGTCACTGCAAGCTGCTAGGACATAAAGGATGCAGAGGCTACTGGCAGTCCTCAGTGAAGTCCTGCAGCCCTCCAGGCTGCGCGGGAGCAGCTGCCGCCATGTTAATCAGGAGAAGAATGTGACAGTGTGTCCCCCCCAGAATGGGCTCCCAGCACACCGTCGTGATGTGGTGACTAGGGGTCACACTCAGGAAGCTTGGTGAAGGCAAGGGGAGAGCTCGCCTGGCAGTGCCCGGGGGAACACCTCCTTAGCTGCTGGGCACACTCAGGAAGATGGCTGACAATCATGGAAGAAATATCTCAGGTTGACAGATAAGCGAGGACACGTAAAATCAGGGCAAATAGCCGGTGCGCCAGGCCTGCTTCCGACTGGAGCCCAGTTCACCTGCAGCCAGATGTGATGCTGGGGCCACAGGCACGGTCCCTTTTTGGAGATCCAGATGTGCCACCAGTTCCTACCCTTTGGAGGGGTCTCTTGTTGGACTGAATGGCACCAAGTAAGTCACCAAAGAGGGTTCCACATTAGGCATGTGTGGTTTTAGGAAGAATTACAAATAAAGATAAGCAGCAGCGGGCACTGCTTGTTGCACCCAAATATACATAAATTGGTCATAAATCTCAAACAGAGATGCTGAGTGTCATGTCAAAAGGCCTGTGTTTTTAGAAAGACAAATACTGCCGGATTCCATGTATGAGGCATGCACAATAGTCAAAATCCTAGAATCACAGAGTTGGACGGTGGTCGGGGGGAGAATGGGGGAGGGTATTTACTAATCAGAGGGGCACAAAGTTTTAGTTAAATGAGATACATTGGTTCTTGAGATCTGCTGCGTACCGTCGTACCTGCTGCTGCTGATCCTGGACTGAAGGCTTCCGCATTTGTTCAGAAGGTAGATCTCATGTTAAGTGTTCCATCACAGTAAAATTAAAAAAAAAAAAAAAATCAGATGCCTGTGTTTTCAGTGATGGTTTGTGCAAATAACTGAGGCAAACCCTGTCTTAGCAAGGAGTGAGTTATCCCCGAGGATGAATGAACCACGAGAATAAAAAAAATTAGGTGGCCGTTTTTCCTCCGACCGTCAGACTTTTTCTAGTTATTGAGAAAGAAATCTGCATTTTTTTTTTTTCCCTTGGAATGTGCTGTGTCTTTGTTGGCCAGCTCTGTGCACCAGTCTGCCTGCCTGTTTCCGCTGGCTTGTCATGCTCACTAATTAGAGAGCTGCCGCCTGATTCACCTTGTTAATTAGAGGGACTTGAACACGGAGGCCTTGGGGCAGTATCCGAGAGAGCCTCGCACCAGTGCCCCGAGAACGGAGCACTCTGTGAAGTCATTCTTCTCATCTACCTTCTATTTTTCATTTGAAATGAATAAATCATTGAGATTTTCCTTGTGGAGTGAGAATGCAAGGATTCACATCTTTGTAAGATGTAAATTACACGTGATCAATAGGAAGGGATGGCTCGTGTATTGTACTTACATGATCTCCTAATTTACTTCTTGTCAGTGTATGAAAAACGGCCCGGTGTATTTGTCTCCCCTCCCATGCATGAATCCGTGCCCTTCGTCTGGAGAAAGAGGGTGTTGAGTGAGAAACACAGTTGGTGGATTTTTTTAGCTGCTGGGATCTGGTCTAGCGGTTTGTGGTTCACTTGCACAGAGGGGGAGGGATGCTTCTGGAAACCAGGCCTCAGGGGAGCATCTGTTGGACCAGCCCCTTTCTCCTCAGCCTCCCCCTGGGCCCCTGCCTGCTCAGGAAGAAAAGACGGTACAGCGGGTAATTTCAACTGAGACGTTCTTTTTGTACTAGGTTTTAGGTGTACCATGTATCTTTTGAAAAAAAAATTTTAATTTTTAGCTGGTGTGGTGGTGTAGGGCTATCATCCCAGCCGCTTGGGAGGCTGACTTAGGAGGATCACAAGTTCAAAGCCAGCCTCAGTAACTTAGTGAGGGCCTAAGTAACTTAGTGAGACTCTGTCTCAAAATGAAAAATAAAATAAAATTTAAGGGGCTGGGGATGTGTGGCTCAGTTGTTAAGTGCCCTTGAATTCAAAACCTGGTACCAAAAAACAAACAAACAAAAAATCATATTTGGACTTGATCAGACTACGAATCCAATCATGGAAGAAGTGGTGTCTTTAAATAATATATTGCCTTTTCTTGTTATCTGCATAGGTCACTTTGGATATTAGTTTCAGTAGCTTTCTCCGCAGCTACTTGATTAGAATTATGTGTTATAGACCAAGGAAAAAAACAGCTCTATCTCATTGGTGAGAGGAGGGTAGTAAAAGTCTGTGGGGGGTGGTCTCTGCTGAAGAACCTGGTTAAATAACCCCCGTACTCGTCTTTGTGGTGAATGAATGGCTTAAACACGGTTAACCTATTTACTCATCCATCGCATTTGCAGTAATCGTATAGACTCACTTGCAGAGATTTTGGCAAAAGATTTGCAAATATTTCTTGAGAGAAAGGAAAAGATTTTACACTTTCTCTTCCTGAGTAAAGGCATGGACCAGGGGGACTGTTTTTTAGAATGTTCTTTGCACCCTTGGAGATGACATTGCCCCACCCCAGGGGAGATCAGGACACAGAGCCTCCCTGTCCTTGGGACCTAGTGCAGAGGAGGAAAGAAGAAGCAACCAGTTATCAGCGCGCAGTGTGGCAAATGCTCTGGGGCCGTCCTGACTACACTAGGGTGGGGACCAAAGACACAGGAGGAGGGAGGTATGTGAGGGCCCCTGGAGAAGAAGCAGAGCTGGAAAAGTAGAGAAGGTCTTCTAAGAAGAGGGCACGGCCAGCACAAAGATATGGAAATTTCTGGCACATTCTAGGGTGTGAGCTGCTTGGGAAGGCCGGGGAATGAGTGAGAGGGAGTCTGCTGGCTGCAAAGGCAGGAAGGCACCACTCAGTTCCCAAAGGGCTGCCTTCCAGCCTCCCGTGGCCTGGGCTGCCTCTCAGAGTGGGAGCAGGTGCCTGCTGTGAGCGTCCAGCCCTGGCGGGGGGCTTCTGGTGGCTGACCCAAGGGCCATTCTGGCCCAGCAGGAACCTAGGCAGGCCTGGAGCAGGCCACAGCGGGTGCAGAGGTGTGCTTGGCTTCTTGGACATCTTTCCCCGGGCACAGCTCCAGCCCCGGGGGGCGGGGGGGGGCGCAGGAACCACTGAATGAAGAGAATCCAGGGGCTCGATTGATGGTGGATTCTAACTTGAATCTCACTGACCAAAGAAGCCACCTCTATTAGAGCCTCCACCTCTTTGACCTTGGGAATTTTAAGTTCAATTTTATTTTTAATTGGCACATCACAATCATACACAGGATGAGATACAATGTGATGTTTCGATACATGTAGCATTGTGTAATGACGGAATCCCGGTGATTAGTATCCCATCATCTCACACACGGATCATTTCTTTGTGGTGAGAATATTCAAAATCCTCCCTTCCAGCGAATCGGAAATATACAATACGTTATTGTTCACTATAGCCACTTGAATGCGACACAGGACACCAGAACACGGAACACGTGAGAATTTGACTGAAGGTCCACGCTGCAGCCATGGGCCCTCCTGCAACACCTCCCAGGTACACCTGATTTGGGTCCTCAGGTGTGGTTTGAACACCTGTCCTTTTCTAGGATCTGTGCAAATAACCCAGGATACAAAGACTTTGAAAAAGACCCCATCTCCTGCCTGTAAGATGCTTGCAAGAGCCAAGCAGAAGCGGTGCCTATTTGCAGAATGGTAGAGGGTGCTCTGTGTGAAGAATAAAAGCTGCAGCTGAGGTGTGGGGGAGCAGGTCTCACAG